CACCTCTCTATAACGGCCACCTTTTTACAACGGTCAGGGAATTTTCCGTCCCGATTGTGCGTCGATCCATCATTACACTTTACTCTTATTGAAACCTCCCCATGTACAATGGCCACCTCTCTACAATGGCGAGAATTCTCGCCATTGTGTGGCCTCAACTGTACAAAAAAAAAATTGTCTTTAAAAGCGAATAACCTTACGGCAAGTCTAAGCACGGAATCCAAACAAGGAAGTTTGGTTGAGCTCAAATGCATCAATGTCCCAAATCGTATAACGGGATCAAAAAATGTTTACAAAATAGCGTCAATATTATGATAACAGATGAAAGGTAGGAATTAGGTTGTTTCTTCATTATCAGCTGGGCTTAGACCTCCTTGCGTAATTGTTTTCTTTTTCGCGGAAAGTGTGTTATGTTTATTGTTGGGTTATACGATATATGAAGCGAACGTGCATGGACTGAACACCCATGCTCATCAATGAACCCAGTGATTGCTCATCAGCCACAAAACAATGATTTAGAACGACAATCCAAGCTAATTGAATCAACAAGCCGATATAATTCTATCTAAACACTGATAAAATAGCCTCACAGAAACGCCAAAAAAAACCGGCTACAAACCTTGAAAAATACTCCCGAAATAGCTCTGTCCAATAGCAAGATCGCTTACTAAAGTCAGCCGAACCGCAGTTTTAAGTACTCGAGATCACGTGCAGTTGTGATATTTGCACAATCATGGAAATAAACCCTCGCACCGCCGTGTCACCATTCCAATCACGCCCGAAACAGCTTTATTAAACCCTGAGGAAGTCAAAACTCAATTGTTAAAGTGACGATATTAGGTTATAAAAGAACAAATAACATCCCAAGGGGGGGCGAAACAAGCAATCCAGTCAAAGAACAATGAAAATAGTAAATATTGTCCCTGGTGCCCGTGGTTTGTTTCTGCTGAAGTTTGTGGCGTGAGGCGGCAGAGGGGTGGTACGTATTCTGGTATATTCTTTCCACGCTTTTCAGTTTCTGACGAGCAAAGGAGCATTGTCCATCGAAGTTCTGTACGATGGGACGCGCCAAAACGATTACTTAGCAATGGGGATTTGGATTTTATTAATGTTACCCGGGCACCATCTGTGTACGGGTCGAATTCCGAGTTCCTTCTCGTAGGCAATGAATATCCCAAACAGTTTCAACAAAGTCTGTAGGTGAGTTCAGTGGTTAAACATCAGTCAACCTTTGATTCTCTGATCAGTCCGATTTTTTAATTGAATGCTTTTTCACGGTAACTTCTAGACGTTCATCTTAAACACGGAACATTTTTATGAGTTAGGTTTGGTCAGTCACTTCAGTAACATTCACTGTTTTACCCCAAATCAAGTGTCAAACGCACTAAGAAATCTTCCTGGTCAGAGATCATGTATCCTTTATTTACACCCCAAACTTGACAGTATTTTGAGCAGTTAATTGGGCTCTGGTATTACTATTTTCCGCTCAACTTAGAAATCCAGTTTTAATGCCGTATAACGCTGAAGATTCATAATTCCCAATTTTTCTCGAAATTTCCTTTTTTTCCTTTGTTAGTACGTAGACATTATTAAAGATTCACCGCCGAAAGCGGAGGTTGGCAGAAGACGTCATTTCGGTTTTGCTACAGAAACGGCGGCCGGACTTGCCCGCATTCCAGTGATTATTTCATGCGGTATATCGGTCAAAACTTTTAACTTTCCTCATTCAATTTAATTTTGGCAACTCGTTAATAGCACGCACTGCCGAGCAACTCAAAATACGTGTAATTTGCCGGACAACAGAGTTTGAAACAAGGCGCGCACACGAGTTCTTTCACAGACACGGCTCTCAATGGTCAATCATACTTGATAACGAGCGAGCATGTAAAGTGCTGGACATTCAATGGGTTTATTAATTTCCTAGGATTAAACTCCGTAATAACATTATATAACCATTCATTTATTAATAACCAAAAACGCGCTTTATACCAGCATTTTCTTGAAATGTTTCCGAAAATAACACATGGAGGACTTTACTCTATAGAGTAGATGTTCTGCTTGCCCTTTGCACTTAGGTACTATACTGCCACCCTTAACATCGGGAAAACTAAAATCCTTTTCATTCCTTCACGGGAAAACAAACTCGAAGAGTCTTTCTGGATGTTACTGGATTGGCCTTGTATCGCAGATGAGCCGTGGGTCCTTGAAACCATCGAGTACAGACCGAGTACCATGAATCCACTCATCTTTTTAGCTATCTTTTTCCATTTAGGCATTGAAACACGTGGGTAGGACCGAGAGATTAATGCGCAATTGTTTATTAAACAAACCCTAAAAGCAGCCGGCATTCAGTGGGGTGTATAGATCAATTTTTATTTCAATTCTTTTTTTTTTTGGAATGGACAGGCTGTAAACTTTGGTTTATCTTCACTACGATATCGGAGCCAGTTGGCATCCGGCATCACCCGGGCCCTTTGGAACCATGTTTTGTGTCCCCCTGCACGTGCAATGAGGTAAACTGAACAAGCATTTTGCTGGGTTCATTCTTAAACTATACTGCACAAACGCAGTGTTAATCAAAAGCTCTGAGCTTGGGATAAGTAAATCAAAAGATTAGTTTGGGACAAATAAATAAAACAAAAAGATTTCGTTTGTTAATAAAATCAACGCAGTTTTCCATGCCACACCCTTAGCTATTTTGTTTGAAAGTGGTCTGATGCTATCGTTCGTATTCAAAACGACCCCACAGTAAGCCAGATTCAGTGCAGCTTCTTCAACTCAAGATTGGTATAAACTTAATCGGATTTGTATCGGCAATGATACAATTAACACCCCATTGTGGTGTTGATCTCCCGGTGTTGGTGTCTAAAATGATCAGAATCAAACTTCGCTTTCTCCTCCTTTTTTTGTTCTCGTTTGAAATTTTCACAGCACAACGTTTATTTTGTTTGGGGAAAGTATTCAATCGCCAATTAAAGTAATCCCCAGTACAAAGATAGACAAAAGCCTTTTATGTATTCAAAAAGACTTTGCAATTAAACGTTTTACAGCCGATTATAAACCCCCAAACGAACAAACGGTCTTCTGCGTTTGAAAGCGTCGACCCTCGCGTTCGTAGCACTTAAAAAAGCAACTTTAAGCGTAGGGCTGTTTTAGAAAGTTTATATATAGAAGATCTGTCGTCTAAAAAAAGTATTTTTGTAATCAAATTGATGAGCGAAACAGGTTTTCCGCTTATTTTGTTGAATTGGATTAGTTCTTGAACCGCAAACAAACTTGTTTAATGCGAACAAAAAGATTCTTAAGTTACCACAGCGCAAAGCCAGATCAGAGAAGAAAAAAAGATTACATCCGAATTGATGCGGCTTTGGCGCGGATCAAAGCTGCGTGATAATCCAACACATGCGAGGACCGGAATGCAAACAGTAAATTGTTGACTTTTTATGGCAGACGGGTTTGTTTGTGTGTTGTTAGAAGATAAGGAGACCGGAAACGATCACGCAAGGCGCCAATGGACTTGTTAATCACAGTGTTTATGTGTAAGGAGGGGAGAAGAACGACGAAGGAGGGCTGAAGACGGGAGAAATGGCTGAAAAAACTTAGAGAGAAGGGATGGAGAAACGACGTGAAGGGAGTTGGGATAAAAATGAGTTAAAAATAGCGAGATAGGATATTTAACTGTTTATTCGTCACTTTAGAAACGAGAAGAGCAATCTGGGGCGAGTCGCAACTAGAAGTCGCTTGTGGGACTACCGGCTACTGGGGACAAAATGGCGGCAACTTGACGACACGTCCCCAGTAATAGTCCCACAGCGACTACGAGATGCAGCTCGTCCCAGATTGTTTCTCGTTTCTATCAACTGAATTGGCGCCGGAATTCCTGTCCCTCTAATAGAGATCATAAGAAGTTACGGACGATTTGAACCTAAAATATTTCTTTCTTATCACAGGTTTCAAACATAGCTACACAAGGAAAAGTGGCATGTCGAAACATACGACACCGCTGTCCCAACAACATCGTGTGCTAGGCCCAAGGTCGAAACAAGGGCATTGTTGTCCCTCTTGTCCAGACGGTGAGACAAATATGAATATGTTACTGAGGTTTTGTACTCTAGGATGATTAAGGTGGTGTGACCCTGAAATGGCACTCATTATTGTATGCCTCGTTTCAAACAGTTTTTTTTAAGTAAAAAAGCGAGGTAAAAAATCTTCGTCGAAATATATTTTGATGGTGTTAACTTTTTATCAAGCCCATCATCTCAAAATGTTCAAAACATGCCCAGACCATAGGAAAAATGGTGTGTTTTTGTAAAACAGTACTCGACAAATGACTAGAACCCATTAGGAAGTGAGGATGACTAACGATGGCGATGATGGAAATGGATTACAATATGGCCAAAAGTAAACTGTTGATTAGTGTTTCGTAGACTGATTTATTTTATCATGTTATATTTGCAGAGTTCATATCTTTGCTGACGACACCAGGAGCCTCAGTTTCCCGCCAAAACGGTCTCGGGCGTGCGCACTTTACACTGGTGGCGGAACACACTTCACATTTCAATTCGCTATGAAGGGTAAGGAATGAAAATCATCCGCCGGCGTAATTTTGTTCAACTTTGTTAATTTGGTTTTATTTGTTTTATACCCAGTCCTAGGAAACTTCGCATGCGTCCTTTATGGATCCCCAAGGCGCGCTGATTAAAGAAATAAACATTCAACGAAAATCCATTAATGGAACTCAGGTCAGTACTGTTATAGCTCTCAACTGCAGATTCGTTTTTTCAAGTTTTTTGGGTCAACAATTGGCCCGCCACACTGCCGGAGCTTATCCCGTTTCCGTAACATGAAGCCCACTAGCCCTAGGAGTATTACCCTGGATGGGATGCTAGTCCATCGCAGGTTACCCCCCAGCATTTTGTCACCGGTACTCATTTATTCTCCTGGGTAGATGGAGAGAGGCACTGTGAGAGTAAAGTGTCTTGCCCAAGAACACGACACAATGACCCAGGCCAGGGCTCGAACCAGGACCGCTCGATTCGGAGTCCAACGCGCTCACCATTAGGCCACCGCGTCTCCCTGTTAACCTCATGTAATATTCAGGCATCCGCTGCTAATTTCTTAGAAGGATAATTTTTAGGTCGGTGCTTATAAAAGGTTAACAGTTTGGGTTTTTCGTTATAGGTGTGTCTGGTGTGGGAATCAAATGAATAACAAACAAATCGAGTCTCTCAAACAAGGGGAAAGTTAGCTTAGCATTGAAGCTCAAAAGACAACACGCAGCGGGTCTCACGGGGGACATTACATTGTATAAATCATACTCAGAAGGTAACGTTTATTTAGCATTCATTCATTCTTTCTTAGAGGTGCTTTTAATTGAATGTCGTATTAAAACCAAAACTAAAGCAATGAAAGTGACTAATCACAGCAAACGAAAACATCATTGACAACGAACCAATGAGAACTCGAAGCAAATACACGTAACCGGCGCCAAATGCAAGCGCGGGAAAACGCGTGTGACCAAGTCGCGATTGGTTTTGGTTTTGCATCTGATTAGTTGAGAAGGTGACGCGAGTTTTTTTTAAACTATAAATCAGAGAGCGTAGTAAAGCAAAAACAAAGCTATTCCGGATTACTTTAGACACTTAATGTGAACAAAGAGAAAATAATGCTACAAACCAGTACATTTTTATTTCAAGTCGAAAAACACTACAGAAAGTGCGCTTAGGGTTTTATCCTGTGCTGTGCATGGTAGAACGTTTATTTCATAAAATTATTTCCATAGAATTTTGAAAACCCTGGTAAAGTTTTTGGAGAATTCGTTACAGAATTGGAAACACTCGCTTACGGCTCGTGCTACCACACGTTCGCCTAAGCATCCAGTCGCGTTGACATAACTCTCTCTGTCACAAGCAGTTGTTTCGATATACGCGTATACTATATATGCGCCATAAGCATATGGTATGTTCAGACTGAATCCCCACAGAAGAATGAAATAAGATAAAATACTTTGAAAAAATTAACACGACGAGCGACGTTTCCAGAAAATGACAAAGCTAAATCTGCGACAAATAAAGCGGCAATTTCCTTGAAGCAATTCTAGCCATGCTCCCTCCAAGGCTCCAAAGTTAAATGCCTGTCCTCAAAGTGGCGCTCATAAAACAGTCTTTCGAGAATGTCTCGCGCTATCATGACTTGATAATATTGAACGACGACATTGTGCTGTTAAACAAGCCTTTACAAGTATTGTATCGTGTAAGTAGTGATAGTGGCTCAATGACTTGTTGAATCTTATCGTGTTAGTATTAGCGTCAGTGCATGTTATGTTCGTGTATTAATAATCAGTGCGGAAGTAGGAACAATATTTGGCCTTTAGCGCCTAGGGCAGTATAAGTGACGATGTTCATCACGCCCGTTCTTGTAAACATTCGTCACGTCAATTTTGCGGCCCGATTTAGTTCGTCTCGCCTCGGGTGACTGCTCATAGCCTGTCTCTGAGGGTGATAACAATACAGCAGTGATTGAAGGTTGAGCTAGGAAAGTACCGTGTGGCATGAAATTTTCGCGGAGTTTAATTTCGCGGATTGTTGATTTTTTTGTGTTTCGCTGGGACAAATTTTCGCGAATTTGGATTTCAGACTTTACCGCTGGGAGCAAATTTTCGCGGATCTCGAGCAAGTTCCTGTCCCGGAATTTCGCCTATGGTGGTACTTGTAATATTGTTTGCAGTCAATTTGACTGAAATTCTGTAATCTAAATAAATGGATTAAATTTTCGCGGAATTTTTTTTCGCAGGAGTTTATTTTAACGGGATCTAATTTTCGCGGATCGTTGAAAAACCCGCGAAATTCGCGAAAATTAGATCCCGCGAAAATTTCATGCCACACGGTCTTTCCTAATCCGTCTCAATCTCCCTCGATCTTAATATTCCTTGCTTATTTTTGGTTTATTGTTACGTCTTTGGCGTTTTTCCACCTTATCATCAAACTATTCCTTGGAGGTTTTATTGATATCAAGGTATTTGTTGAACACAAATATGACGGTTTCCAATTAAGTGTCGTAAGTAACCCGGAATTGCTTTAGTTTTGCTTTACTACGCTCTGTGATTGGTTTAAAAAATTCGCGCCACTTACTCAACCAATCAGACGCAAAACCAAAACCAATCGCGGGACTTGGTCACACGCGTTTTCCCGCGCTTGGCGCCGGTCACGTGTATTTACTTCGAGTTTTCATTGGTTCGTTTTGTTGTTTACGTTTGTTGTGATTGGCCATTGTAATTGCTTTGGTTTTGGTTTTACGACACTGAACTGAAAACCGCTCCAGCATATCGTGACATAGATCTTGTAAAACACTAAATTAAATTATAAAGCATGTTAATTATAAAGGAAAGTTTTTAACTTCTTTCACTTCACTTTTGTTTCTTAGAGAGCTTTGAAGCATTGTTTGTCGTCTGATGATGAAACCTCCAGTGCACTAGCTTCTTTCAACTTGGTCAAAAGTGGGAAACTTCTCAGGATATATCTTCGCTACAATGGATCGCACACCTTAGGTTAGTGGGGTGGGGTGTCACATCTGAGGTCAGTAGAGGTAGAGTGAGATTTAACATTCGATGGTTTGTAAGGGTGGGGTGGGATCTGACACCGTAGGTTAGTGGGGGTGGGGGTAGAATGTTTTTCAACGTTTATTGCGGTTTCTAACGTATCTCTATCCGATTGCAAAAAGTGATATACTTTCTTTTTTTTCTCTCCCGAAAGGCTCAGAAACTCAAGTGACGATCAAGTTGATAAAAAATCCCACGAATAACAAAGATTCTCGTGTCGTGAAAGAAATCAGCGCGCCACAAGTGAAGAGAGAGGTCAGTTACTCAAAACTTTTCATGTTCATTTTCATGAACGTTTTACACCAGGAATGGTTTTAAAACAAGGGCAGAACGCGGAAATGGCCTACAACGTTGTACATCAGCTTTACAATCGTCTATGGACAATTTCAGTTTTCATTTTCCTTTTTACTGATCAAGATCTTTTCTGGACCCAAAGTGACAAGTTGGATTGTACACGATTGTTTCTTGCGGTTTGAAAAACTTTACCTGCTCAGTCTTATTAAACATAATTTTTCTTGCAGAATTCCAATTTTAAAACGATATGGCTGGACCCATCTGAGCATGCGCTGAAGTGGATGTCACGTGGTCATTTAAACATCACAATGATATTGAAAACCGCTAACCAGACTACTGAACTTACTGGTCGAGTAAACATCAAGAGGACATGTAACAGTGAGTAATAGATTTCTTCACACACACACAAAAAAACATTTATTTATAGATACTGACCACTACAGTGATCAAAATGTTTTTTTCTCCTACAGCCATCGTCTCTCAGCTTTCCGGTCGAGACGCCCCTAGGCCCACAATGACAGGAGCCAGCGGCTATGCTTCCTTCGAGTTTTTTAATACTGGTCAAATACACTATCAGGTAATTATCGATCAATTACATTACTTCAGTAAGCCTGTTGGGTACTAAACTTACATGATTTCAACCCCAAAGATTTTCCAACTTTCAATTTCATGCTAAGTTACGTCATTTTACCCTCACCGAAAGCGAACTCTATAAAAAAGTTGATTAGCCAGTTGCTCATTCAGAGGGGATCTGCATTTTAGCCCTTCATCATATTCTGAATACGTCAACCTGTTTTGCTAAGATTTTAGCTATATATACACATATTTTTAATTCTTCCAGGTTTTTCTGTCGGGCCTGAAAAACCCTGTACTGGAAATCAGTCTCCAAGCAACAAACCGCAGACAAAACATTAAAAGACTGTCACGATCAGTTACATCTGATGCTCATGGACGAGTTAAGGTGGGTTAATTTACAAAATTGAGCGGGAAACCTGTGGATAGCGTAGTTTGCTTTGTAAAAGGAGTAGTACATCACGGTTTGTGCATCTTGAAACATTTAGCCGTTCGTCTTTGCAATCCGTCTTAATCTCTTCTCCATCTTTAACCATCCTTGTTTCTGTTTGGTTTCTGATTACCTCTTAGGTGTTTTTCTATCTTAATAAACAATTATTTTTAGGTTTCCTGATTTGAAGGCAATTTTTGAGTTATATAGAAAAAGTTGAAATGTGAAGGTTTCGACCACGCCTATTAAAGTATCAAATTACAGAAATTCCTACTATTCTTTCTGAAGAAATTTTTTTTCAGAATATAAATGAAACAATTTTCCACATATGTAACTTTGATCAAGTTTGAGCGATTATTTCAACAGATTTGATTCATGTAGATATTGGACAAAAATGTGTAAATTAGCCTCCAGGACTACCTTAAAACATCATGACCGGCATATCACTTATCCACTGGATACCACCTTTGCACAACCGGTCCTGCAGTTTAATACCAGTTTTTAATGTGTTTCAGGTGTCAGGTGTTTGGGAGAGGCCATCATTTACAGAAATAAACTGGTTATTCAGTGGACATATGTTCATCAATGTTCGTACCACGGCCAACAAGAATGGCGAAATACACGGTCAACTAAAACAGTTTCCGTACAGAGGACACCATCTCTCCTATCATGGTAGGAACTAGACAAGCTCTTATGCTTTTATACTTATACAGTAGAAGATCCCGTAAGTGGACACCCTCGGGAATCAGAAAAGTAGTGTCCGCAACTGGAGCTGGCCGCTTACGGGAGTGCGTAACGTAAACAGAGTTTGTATGAGCTAGAGTTCAAATGGGGTTTTGTCAAGGCGGCTGTAAGTAGAGCTGTCCGCTTACGAGAGTGTCCTCTCAGAGAGCTTCGACTGTGTTAGCCAAATATCTCTTTCTTTTCCATATTTTTTTACCCGGAACTTGTTTGACTCAAATGTCGGTTATGGGCTCGCTCGATGGTTTATATCTCATTTATAATGAGATCATTCCTGTCTCTCTCCAGATCCTCCGGTTCTATTGTCCGGTAACGAAGTAGTTCCCAGTATTCAGACGGGTGCGGCCGGGCAGGCCTGGTTCTCACTAGACAAAAACTGCGCTTTTCACTATCACCTGATGCTCAGTGGCATGGACCGCGGGCGCAAGAACTTGATGA